TTGTCTCTGTTACGTTCCTTCCAATTTGTTCAAGGTTCAAGAGGAACATTTGTCATGTCCTCCCTGCAAATATCCTTGGTAAATTCTATGTTGTCCCCACATCCACACTCTCTTCCTTTCTTTTCCAAAAATTGCCTGCTTTTCAGCAGTGCTCAGGATTAAAGTCTTTATTATAGTCACACCTTCTCTGATGGCTTCTCTCTTGTCCTTGACTTCACCATGTCTTAAATCTTTGTTGCATCTTAAAGTTACATGCTCCTGTCTGCTTGTCTTGGTCATGATCACTTTCGTTTTCCTCAATCTCTTTGTATGTGTTTTGGTTTTTGTCTGTCACTGACTTAAATATTTCTCCCAGTTTTCCAATTTTTAGTTGATCTAATCCTCACAGATTTTCTCTTTTTTCCATCGTGACATACTGGTATCTTATCTGGTTTTGTTATTTCTCACTGTTGTTTTTCTTGGTCTGAAGAATTTGATCCTTGTTTTCAGCAAATACACTTAATATTTCTTCTTTTTATCCTCAAGCCTCAGGCTGTGAAGATTATTTGACTGTAAGATACATAAATGAAATTAAATTTAATAACATTCACCGTCATATTGCATTCAAAATCCCTTATCCGAATATCTTTTGAAAGAGCAGAAAGAAGGTAAAAGTCTGAGAATCCTGCTCATCTATTAAGTGTCCATGGGTGACAGACGGAAGCCTAATTGTTGAACTCTTTGGTAACAAAGTCAATAATGGCTCTTTGGTCTGAGGGGTAGCTTTAGATCTTGTTTGGCTGCCAGATACGGAGATGAAAGCTTTGGCTCCTTCTGTCAGTAAGCAAGGCTTCAGATGTTTGACTGTGGAAGCAGTTGGCCTGTTAGGGTTCAGGGGTGTTATTGCACCAAGAGCTTCAATCAAGTTCATTCTTGCAATTGGATGTGAAGCAGGCAGCGCTGTGTTCGCGACCTTTTAGGAGAAGACTGTTAAAACTCCTGTGGGGAGCAATAAAAGGCATATTGCTCACTGGCCCACTGATGATGTCCTGATTTTTCAAGTCTGTTAACAGGCTGTGAGAAGCCTTTTTCTTGCTCTCATTGAAGTGTATTGGGTTTAACTGAGGCTCCCTAATGGAAATGTTTATATAAATAACATTATGCTGACTGTTTTATCACTGGTTTATCACTAATATAAAGTTAATTTATATTAAAGTTAATAAATTAGGACTTGCTGTGATAAAAGATTCACTAGGAGAGGTGTGCCTTTTTTTGCATTGCTGTGTGGTTAGGTGTCATGCATGACATCCCACATGCAATCTGAGAGACAAACAGTTGGACTGTCAGTCTTATTACAGGGAACATCAGGAAACATGTGATTGTAAATTGTTGCATTGTTCCCATCTTTGATCATATTGCTTTCCCCAGCTGACAGTGAATGTGAACTGTATGATGGAAATTCAGGAGTAAAAGAGCCTAAAGAGACATGAGGCGGTGCAGCAAGATGAGATGCAAATTTCTCACTGGACATTTCTTTTCCATCTCTCAGACTGGTTAAACTCAAGCCTGTCACAGTGTGTCTTTCCCAGTCTTCTGTTGGATCACTTTGGCGGATGGATTGCTTTGCACCAGACAGATCTACATTTCCTCCCAGGTTTGTAGTGCTCTTGCCCTGCGGTTGTTTATCATCGCTGACATCGAACGGCTCCAACAGGTTATCAATTACAGGAGGAGGAGATGCAGATAGGATCGGAAGTAACAGCCCTGCATCAGCAAATGTGGGAATAACAGAGCTGGCATTTCTGTGGTTACTGATTGAACGAGAAGCATGAAACTAAGGAGGGGCTTTGAATGCCTTAGCTGACAAATGGACCTGTGGCTCAAAGGTATCCTTCAAAGCCAACACAGTTTGTGTGGAAGACAAAACTATCTTTCCATAATTAGACTTCAGTGGGAGTTTAGATTCTGATGGGTAAGCTGTGGATGATTTTCAAGAGCTCTGCTCCTTGCCGGAGAGAAGATGTTCCATGCTTTGTAAAGTAGTAAATAATGATGTTGTGGTTCGCATCCTCTCATTAGTTGGCTTTAGTTCTGTGTCAAACACATTTGCTTTTGGAAACTCTGCAGTCGCCTCCGCCTCTGTGCCTCGGTGTGTCGGCTGTGTAGCTTCTGCTTTTATGCCACGATTGATTGTGTTTGTTCTAACCAAAACCCCATATTTTGTGACAGCACTGCCTTCTGTTTGTTCTGGGAGTTTACCTCGGAAATCCTGTCGCTCTGAAACAACTAAAAACACAACACAAGTCAATCATATGTTATATTCAAAGACTGTTTTTTGTATATCTATAAACAAGTAGTGTATGAAAAAATCATAATAACTGAAAAAAGAAACTGAAGACCTGATAATTTTTTTTTTATATATATTCATCAAAAGCTAATAGATACATAAAGTGACTTCTCAGCTATTTTTGAATATGAGTGTTTATTGTGCTGATGGGGGAAATTTTTTCAGAGTTTATTTAACATATTCAATCTTACGTACAAATCCTCCAGTGACAATGTCATCTATCACTTTTAGCACTGAGCTCATTATTTCAGTCAGTCTCTTCAACCCTCATGTATTACAGCTTTAAATGTCAATATTTCATAATGCAGACACATACTGATGAAGTTTGTGAGAAAAAGAGGGAAAACAGCAATATGTTCAAACAATTTTAAAATATATATATTTGCTAAGATTTGACATTTCAGATTCTTTATAGGTTTACATATAAGCTTCTTAAAAGGCAAATTGTATAATTTAATCCCTGCTGTGCCTGAAATTAATCTAGAAAACTGGAAAAGACACCAGTTGATGTGTGACAGATTAGTTAAATACTAAATGTCAAATGATTTCCCTATTAATTTTGCTCCTTATATCAGTCAGTTTGCTGCATGAATTCTTCTGTGTGTCACATGTGACATTTTACTGCAACATGTCACATGTCAATCAAATGAAGGATCACAAAGACAGCATGTATATAATGTAAGGTTTAACAATACATAAATGCATTATGTTATTAAATGTTGTGCAATATTTTTTTTCTGTTTAAGATGTTTGCGCAATTTTAGTGTGTTAGTTCTCTTATAAGCTGTATCTTGTTGTTTTTGAAAAGAGAACAAATGGGAAAACATAAAACTAGATCTGCAAAATGAAATAATCATCATTTTAACATGCTTCAATTTTCAACAATATTAACAAAAAATTATTCTGAAACAAAGAACATATTCTTTACTATTTTCCCCAGAAATAAGTACACAAATAACAGGTAACAGTAAGCAGAACCTCAGCATTTTGTTGTTGTTTTCTTATTAACAAATACCGAAACACCATGGAGTGTTGGCTCCCTGTGGTCCTTTATACTGCAGAGCACAAGGTTTCATCTGTTTGTAGATATATCCTCATGGACCCTGGTAGTGTCATCACTCAGAGGGTGGCTCTCCTCTAGAGTTCATTATTACAAAGATGACATTTCTCAGTAGCTCTTTCCTTTTTTCAAATATTCTCAGGTCAAAAAAAATTCTGAATGTTATACTGAAGTGGTTAGGGCATAAGGCTTAAAATCCTGAAGCTGTCACTTCGAAACCCACTCCCTGAGCAAGAACCTTAACCCCAGATTGCCCCCCATGCGTTGCACAGTGGCAGCCCACTGCTCTACGTAAATTTCTCCATTGTGAGATCAATAAAGGTTAATTCATTTATTTTATTTTATTTTCATCAAGTTTTGATGGAGAATTAAAACTAATATGCATTATTTGCACAAAAATTTTGCCTTTGTGCATTTAAAAATGCTTTTATTTCACACCATATGCTGTACAAACTTATCCTAGTTTCAATATTCAGTGTCTTGATTTCATGAGTGATATAGAGGGTGAGTAGAGATAATAAATCCCCATCTCCCTTTACCTATTTCTTGATTGTTTTTACTTTGTGTATGACTGTAAATATAATTATGTATAAATGTATGTATTAATGTATTTGTGTGCATACATGTGTATGTATGTATGTATGTATGTATGTATATTTGTCTATACTGCATGTGTTTATATGTTATTACCTATGTCTTATTTATGTACTGTTGAAGAACGATAACGTATTTGTGAGTATGTACATACTGCATATTTGTTCTTGCAGTGAAGCTGCGCTGAAGTGGGCGGTTAGGTGTGTATGTTAAATAGATTTGCAAGCAGTACTATTATCTTTTGTCATACCTTATTTTTGTTTGAATGCACAACACCTTATGTATTGTTACTAATGTTAAAAATGTATCTATAAAAAAGGAGTTTAACATATGCTTTTTAGCAATTTTTGTCAAGGTTGAAATATTCATAACACTGCTTCATAAAGCTTAAGTGATTTTTTTTTTTAAAGGTATTTTTATTTATTGCCCTGGTTTTAATTTATTGTGGATTTTCTTTAATTTGCTTTTGCTCAAAAGTGATAAACAGACTCCCCCTAAAATATGGATAAATGTGTTTTCCAAGTTTTAACTTTTAGCTTCTGGTGTCCTTTTAATTAGATATTTCACCCCTCTTCTTACCACAAATGTAATCAATTGAAATTGGATGATGTCCACGCTCTGAACTGACTTTTGACTTAGTTTATTTATTTTTTATTTTGTTCCATTGGAGTGAAGGGCCACATTTCCAGCTTTGTATTAGATTATATTATTTGAAGCTTTAAATTAGCCTCCTTTCTCAATTCCAAAATTAGCTTTCAGACATGTTTGGAGTCGTTTTACGATTGAATCAATAAAGCTGCAGAGGTTTTTGTTTTGAGAGGCAAAAGCTAGATTACCTTTTTCATAAAGATACTGCAACATCAGTTTTTGGACATTTTTACTGTAGGAAATGTGTCTTGATTGTTTTCTTTGTTTTATAGGATCCACGACTTAATTCATTAAAAATGGTTTTAAAAAGAAAAGAAAAAAAAATCAAACTTCATGCAAAGGAATGAATACAACTTTTAATAGACCATTCCATTTTGAAGAAAACAAACAAAGAAATGCATACTAAAAATGCACTGCATATGCAAACAGTAACAGTAAAGAATATCACTTAAGGAGGTGACCTTGTTATAGAGGGAATACTTAGACTCATGAGGATATTCTCAGTCAAATAAATTTTTTATCCTTTTGAAGACCAATATGGCTAAACATGAACATCTTTCTAGCTAAAATACTTTCAAAATTTGGTTCATTAGAATTCAAGTGTTGGTAGGTTTAGAGATAAAAGAGAAAGTAAATATTTTCCATAATGAAAAGAAACAAATTAAGGCAAACAAATGATGAAATGTCAATGCCTATCACTGGACTTGGACAGAATTTAACTGTTACTGCTTTATCATAGGAGTTTTGCACAGGAGTGAAGGATCTCAAGGCCATGAAGCTCCCGAAGTTTGTGAATATGTCTGAAAATGAAAAATGAAAACATTTTTTTTTTAGACAGAACATATTTTGACAGTATGTACAGAGTGCTGGCATTCAGTTTAAACAATAGTGTGACCTTCGGTATAGAACAATCAACTCATCCTAAAAACAGTCACATCCAAGCCCATCAGCCTGAAGGTGCATTTAAGTCCTTCGCAAAGGACACTTACATCACATTTAGCATTTATTGCTCAACGAAACACACTCATGCTTGGCGTTATCTGCTCATCAAATGATGCTCTTGCACATTTTAAGTAAGCCTGTCACACTGTCCCTGAGCCTATGATTCAGAACATTTGTCTAAATGTAAACAGTAGGGACAGTTTTGTTTTGGGGGGGTTCTGTTAAAATAAGACAACAGTCAGCATTAGGAGGTCAGATGCAGGTCAGCACAGGAAATGATCTGCATTAAGGAGGTTCACTGTTTCCTTCCTTAATTCTTTTGAATGCCTCACATTTGCACATAGCAAAAGAGTATGTCTTAGACAGCATCTTAAAATAAATCAGCTTTTATAATTAAAATTATCCAAACTATTATAAATATAGAAAGCTACAGTATGATGTTATCATTTCTGCATTTCCAAACTTATCATCACACAGTCAGAAGAATTTTAGTGACTTTAATCAAATGTCATGTTGATACAATAGCAACAAAACTGAAGGGAAATTCAACCATTCATTGTGCTTTCAACTCATAACCTCATCTGTATAGTAAATGACTTACAGAACACAAACATCTGGCAGCCTACAGCAATGCGATATCCGAGAGACATAAAACAGAAAAAGACATGAGGCCATACAATGCTTTTTCTTTTGATTGCACAAATTTAGATTCTTCTTGATTGATGTACACACTAGGGGATTGGTTATAGCACATGTCAACATTTGTGCATGAGTCTTAGCTATAATAAGAATTTAATGCTGGTTATTGAGCATCCATCCTACTTGGTTGAAGGATTACTAATATATGCAAACTACTCTTGCTCTGCATATGATGGATGTGCCATAGGAGGCTCCAGATAGAGTTTAACAGCCACCAGGTGGTGCCAGGCTTTTCTACTGATCTTGGCTTGCTCATAAATAACAAAGCGAATGAAACATTTATGTGTTATTTGACAGATAAAATGTCATAGAGGAAGAGTAACCACAGGAGATTGAAACTTGGTTATGGCTAACTCAGCTTAGGATTTTGCTCTTCCAAAGTCTATAGCTGATCTCTGCATCCACCCCTCAAATAAAATAACAGTGGTATAAGTCAATATACCTATATACCTTTGACTTATACCTCAAAGGTATAAGTCATCTAACTCAGAAAAACAGCCTTGAGCATTGAGATGTTCCTCTAGCTGACTTGAACAGGATGTAAAAAGGAAGGAACAGTCCAGAATGAAGTTGGCTGCATGGAGAAATTATCCTCCAACACAAGACTAGCTTTAGCAGCAGCACCCTTACCATGTATAATAGACACCATCAACATTAAATCAATCACCAATAAAACCAATAATATTTTCCATAACTTGTGGACAACAGTTTCCCCATTCTACATTTTCAATGTAAATATCGCATAATGGTAGTCATATATTTAAAGATAAATGCACAATGCAAAGCTCTCTTAATAACTTGTAATGAAAAGAAAAGTGAAATAAAAATCTATGTCAGTGGTGGTTGATGGTAAATGGTCTGTACTTATATAGTATCTTTTCAAGTCAGGAAACTCCAGGGCCTTTTACATTACATTCAAAATTTAACTTATTCACACACACCCACACATGGAATTTTTGTGTATTCCTAAACTGTAGGTTGGAAAACGTGTCTATCTTTATTTAGTAGGAAGCTGGGACTTGGGAGAGAAGAAATAATGGCTGATAAACATGATTTAAAAAAGTGTCAGGTGGACTTTTAAAACTTAAGAAGCCCCACATTTGAAGATAAAAAAACTGTACATATAACAGGCCATATAGTGTATTGTGTAAAGCAACTCTGTAAGTGCAAAACACCACAGAAAAACAGGTTGCAATCAAGAAAATTCAGATGTCAGATAAGAAACATCAAGATCAAATTGTCATGATCTGCCCTGTTAGCCGGCCTTAATTGCTCATGTCACTCACCTGCCTAGTTCTGCCCAGTTCCTAATCATCTCTGATCTCATCCACCTGCCCGTTTCCCTTATACTCGGTCCAGCCCAGCCATCTTGACAAGTCATCCTTTGATTTCTGTTTGTTCCCTGTTTGCCTTCTGTTAGTGTCGGTTTTGTCAGTTTTCGGTATTTCCAAGATTCATATCCCCTTGTCCAGTAGGGGATTATTTTTGAGCCCATGTCTTCAGGCTAGCTTAATCCCTAGTCGTGAGAGCGTTTAAGCATTTCCCAGGTGATTCTGTTTTCCTGATTCTGTTCCCTCTCACCCACTGGCCCTGTCTGTCCCTGTATGATCTGCTTGCCTGAATCTCTGTCGGACTCCTGCTGCATTCTGCCTGTCTGTGAATTTCTGTCTGAGCTGGATGCTCGACGCACGGGACTCTGAACCTGCCTTCACACTCTGATGGATTCCTGGAACCCGGATCTGTCAGTTCCTGAGTGGACTGAACTGTTAATCCAAAATCAGTAATGGGTTGCGCTCCACACCTGCGGTCGCTGCTGTCGCAGTTCCACAGCAGCGCACTTCTGTTCTGTCTTTTTTTGTATTAATAAACATTTTAACCTTTCCTACTGGCTGTCTAACCTTGAATATTGGACCCATCTGTCCCGCTTTTTTGACACAACTATGGGTTCAGGGCAAATGCACCTGCCTAGTAAGTTACAAGCAATTTGTATACTTTGTGGACTAATTTTAAAAGTGAAAAAACATTAAAAAAGGATAAGGCATCAGGTAAAGAAGTAGAGACAGCGCATGCAGGGACTTGTTAAACAGGTTATTTTTGGTATTTTTTCCTTGGAAAAAACTTTCTGAGTGGCTACATGTCACATTTAAAGTAGTAGGAAAGTCATATTTAAATGGCAAGTCATTCTGGCTTAAACATAAATGTACTCTTTATCAGACTATATTGTCCCAAAAGTTAGAAAATTACTCCTCATTAAAAACACTTATCATTTTTTGGACAGTATGTAATAATTTCATATTTAAAGTACTTACAGAAGTTTAAATTCTGAGTATGACCAGACCTCTCCCTTAAAGAATTGTTCTATTTAATCCAACTTTAAAGTCTCAAAAGATTTCCAATTCAAACTTACAGTACCTACTCATTATCCATTGAATTGATATGTGTAAAGCCTTGACCATTGGTGACAGTTAACATTGGCCAAATATTTCAGATTACTGCGTACAGTAGGAAAATTAGCTTCCAGAATGTAAATAATGTCTTGCAGTCTGTGAATTGAGGGCGTACCTGGGCTCAGACTGACATAGTTTGCTGAGAGCAATAGCTGCATTTTGTTGCACAGCTGTCTTCTTAGCATCCCCCGCTGCGAGTCTTAGTAGAAGAAGTACAATATCAGTGCCCAGCAGGTGGGTGGCAACACCTTCCAGTTCAAAGCAATGGGCCAGGCACAAAGCTGCATTTCCTGAAATCACCTCGTCACAGCTAGAACTCAGAAACTGACGTAACATGGACAATTCTACACAGAGAAACAGATGAAACCAAACAGAGAATATACTTAATGAATGATTTCTAAACCATTAAACAGAGGCAGAAACATCATATGATATGTTTTAAACCAGTATCTTACATCAAATCAGTCTTAACCTTTGCTGTTTTTGAAGTCTGTTTTTTTTTTCAGAATTTCCTTTGTTTCAGAGATGTACTGACATTTCTTGAGTCTTTGTTAGAATTGGATATTAAAATCTTTGTCCTGGTTTATATATTTAAAACATTCTTCTATAAGATAGCCACAAGAGTTTGCTTCTATTTTAGGCCATTCCTTAATATAACTTTATTTTCTGTATGCTGGATTAAACTTCTGTTTGGAAGATCAGTTTGCAGTTTTCTCTGTCTTATCAGCTTCAGCCAGGGTCTTTCCAAAGTAATTTGTTTTTGTGTTCAGGTTAATACACATTTTTATAAAAACAAACATTCCTTTCTGGGACACAGAAACTGTTTCTTCATAACAGTATAATGGCTGGATTTTGAAGTGCAGTTCATTTTTAAGGATTATAGTTTGATCAGATAACCCTGTGACCAGGCCCTGTGACAGGCATCTAAAAATTGGATACAAAGAGAAAGCAGACCTGTAAAGGTCCACACTTCCTTATATCAAAGCTGATTTCTTTTTCTTTTACCATGATTGGAATAGAGCAAACCAGTGTTTGGGATGTTGTGAATTAACCTATATGAAACAAAGGATTTGTTTAATATTGGGTCTAAGTCTATGTTTCATAATACTGGTTGTTAGCCAACATAACAAATTGTGGTAATCTCAAAAAGCAAAAAACAGGAAACATTTGTTCTGATTTTGTGTCAGTGAGATAAAACATTAGGTGTATTCTAATTAGTGGTGAACATAGATTCCTTTTTTTTTTTAAATCCAGATTAATTTCACTGAAATCTTGGAATTAATCTTGATTAAAAGGGCTTATTATTAGTTTGACGAACACGACCCTCCCCTGCGCTATATCAGATCTTGGCCCGGCCAGCATCCTACGCATTGGCAAAGGGATGCTTTGCGTTTAGGTGGTACTTGAGACTGGAAGAACTCCTCTAGTAAACTAATTCCGCATTGAACAAGGTGCAAACAGCTTTAGTCTTGTTGAGGTTTCCATTGGGAAGCTTCTTAAAAATACATTTTCCCTGAAGCAAACCCGGTGTTTTTATAGCTGCATCCCTATCAGCACATCACGTTCAATGTGGTAATTTCACAGTAGTCCTACACAGGTTTCACTGATTTGCTGGTAACAGCCCATCACTCATTCTTATACACTATTGTAAAGATCTAATTTTAGTTCTATACTAAACTTGCAAATAGATCAAAATATGTTTATGTCAGTTCTGCCTCATGAATATAATGAACTGTTGGTTTAAATGATCTAATACTGCAGACTTAACACAAACCAAGAAGCCTTTTGATGCTAACAAGTTAATATTTTCTCACTTTTATCAGACTTCACCAGCTCTTGTCTTGCCATGTCACTGACTGCAGTGCAAACTGTCAATGTCTTAATGGCAAACTTGGTTGCAGTCTGACTTTCTCCCTGGGAAAGTAGAGACAAAAGAGACTAGTTAACATCAAACAAACCAAACACCAATTTTCATGCTAACTAAATTCACCTGAACATAAATAGAAACAAAACCCTCCACCAAATAAACCTATCAGTATATAGAGCCAGAGAATTGAGACTGATTAATGGAAAATTGTCTGAAAAGGGGTATGAAGAAGTAGGACTTGTTTTTCATACCCTCTCTCCCTCTAATTACACTTAAATTAACTTAAAGTAGAGTAACCTTCCTGTTAAATTTGTTTTTTGTCTAATATTAGCACAAAAAATCAGTTAGTTCCACCATGATTGCACCAGAGGTAAAACTATCAATACCCTTCCAGTTAACACCAAAAAGTGAAAAGAAGAGATTCCCTATTGATAGACAGTAGTATGTGGTTCTTAAATTCATTGTCAATGGTCTGGTCTGTTAAGGCCATGTTAGCACAGAGTAGGATTTCCAACTGATAAGTCTGTCTGTCAGTGGCAGACTGACAGAATTGTGGCTGCCAGACAATGGAACCATCAGGCTCATTGGCCACCAACAGACAGCAAGCAATTGAAGAGCTTAGGCTAAGGTGGTAATGACTGAGAAGGATGGAGCAGGGACTTGAACCAGCAACCCACAATTATAGGTGGATCCTTTATATCTTGAGCCTCCGTGGCTTAAAACATTCCCTTACTACCTGAGCTGAATGTGGCTATGCAGGTAAAGAATGATGGCAGTTGAGGCTTTGAGAAAAAAAAAAAAAAAAACTAAGAAACTGTAGTGAATTCCGAACAAGAACATAAAAGCATAATATTTATCTTTTCCCCTAAAGAAATAAGGTCTCCACATTGGAAGACATAAGACTCACCTCTCAAAATATATATTTCTATAGTTGTTGGATTTATCCAACTTTTTAGCTGTTTGTCTGCTCCTGACAAGAACATTTTTATTTCTTATAATTTTGTGTGTGGCGCCACACTCAGCTTGTGGGAATTGCAACGATTAAATTTGTCCACAGGGATTTTACAGGGTGACTATAGATGAATAATTTAAGCCACTGAGGCTATACTGCTTAGTTTAAGCAATCTAGGAGAATTGCTCCAAGGAGGCACTACTTTCAACCCTTACTGCTTGCTGGTATCTTTTTAACATCTTTGTCAATTTTCGAAATTCCTAAGGGAATCTTTTACAAGCAGCTGTTCTTGTTTTAAAAGGAACACCACCTTTAGTACCTTTACAGATTTCTAAAATATGCATTTAAACAAAGTGTGCTAAGTAGCGTTTGCTATCTTAAGATTTAAAAAGCTTATTTAGCAATTCTAAGTAATGTATAAAACAAATAAGAATTTAACAAATTGCAATGTCTTTTCGATTGCATTTATCTTTGTACAGTTACACACTTTTAGCAGGGAGCACATGGTTTGAATGACTTTTCTTTGAACAGCATGTTGAACAGCTTTAGATGACTGAGGCAGGACATTGCTCAGAACACCAGTGGCTCCCTGTAGAGTAGAGAAGAAGGGTGATGGCATTAGAAAAGAAATGATTAGAAGTGTAAGAACAAGAGAAAAAACTGCCCTGCAAAAAATAAACATGGCAGAAAAGGTTGGAAAATCACACATTCTTCAATTTTCTTCAATTTCAGCAACAGACATCAATGTATTTGAATGACATTGTTTTATGATACCGCAACACAAAGTAGTGCTTAAATCTCAAGTGCAAAGAAAGTAATGCTGGTTTTAGAAAGCTTTTTGCTTGAAAAAATCTGAATCTAGGATGCATTTTAATCTGATAACCTGAATAACAGTTTATTAAGATCCAAATTAGAGCACCCCCAAGTGTAATTAAACTTCAGTATAAATATAACTGTTATGTAAAGGATATACAGGGATTGCTAGGTAGCATTGGTGAACAGATTCATAAAGACCAAAGAACCCAGCAAACATGTAAGGGAGTATTCTTCCAGAGAACCATAAAGCAGGTAAGAGTCTTTCACACCTCATGCTCTGCAGCTTTGTGGAATTGCAGTTGGAAGGAAATCAGAAGAAATCCCTTTTGCCACATAGCATACATGTAGAGGATATGGCAAACATTTCACACAAGGTGGTGGTAAATCCCTAACCCCATTTATGCAAAACGATAAGAACATTATGCTGAATTTAGAAGAGAAGAGGGCAGGATAAGGAGATATTTGGTAAAGGCTGTCTGGCTAATATGAGAGGAACCTGGGGGCCTCTTTGTTAATATTTTGGATGGGGCTGAGGTTAACCTTTGAGCAGATGTAAGAAATAAACATATAGTTTGTGCTTTACTGGAATGGCTTAGATTAAAGCATGCTTTTATGGAAGAATGGCCCAGTCCAAATTGTACAACTAACAGCCCCTCACCCATCATGATATAAATGGGTTTTGGGTCGTTTACTATGCTAAATCACAAAGGTATTCATGAAAGTCATTTTTTTTTAAAGTAGGAAACTTGAACAAAGTTTAAAGTCGTAGGGAAACGGCTGTTCCAACCATTGCATTTCCGAATTCTCGAATTTACACGAGTGAATAAAAAGAATGTTATTGGTCATTTATCAAGGGGACAGGATTGTTATGCCGGATGGTTTGCAAGCATGTTTGGGACAAGGAACGCTATAGACAGCGGAAACATGCAAGGAGAGTCTTGTGCCGGAGCTGCAACATATGATTTAAGATGCTATGACTGAAAAAATTTGATTGAACGATGACCGATATATGATTGGCCAAATTTAGGTGTACAAGCTGACGTATAACTAACTGGCCTGCAAAGGTTAACAAAAAAATAAACACAAAAAAAGCAGATTTTAAGACAGGATTCTTTTTTAAATAGAAATTTTTTAACTTTTGGGAAAATGTCGTCTGATAAAGAGTACATTTATATACATGTTTAAGCCAGAATGATTTGACTTTAAGGCCATTCACTACCGTAACCAAGATAACTGTTTAGTGTTAATAGACAGTGCCAGACACAACCAAATCTTGCTAAATCTAGTACTAGTTCAACATGGCGGCGCCCATAACAGTAGGGCTCAGCACGGTTCAGTTGTGACTCAGTTCTCGGATAACAAAAAGCGCATGAGCAGACCGCATCTTCTCCTATTTACAACCAGCTGACTCATTTTGCAGGTTTTCAGGAGTGCCCAGCTTTGTAATTCACAGATATCATCACCTGTTCACAACACAAACGTCTTCTCAGCCTATTAACAATAAATGGCATCAAAATAGCATGGTGCGACCTGGGATGAGGCTGAGACCAAGGCTCTCATTAAAATTTGGGTGGAGGACGCTACCCAGGCATATAAGATCCTGAATGGTATGGACGCTGCCATTTTTGTTTGCATAATTCCCACCTTGAGAGCTTCAGTATCGTGGACCGTCGATAGGAGGCAAGGAACCGTGGTAGCGTGATGTGTAAATAGTCGTAAGAACCAAGCTGGCCGCAGTTAGTTGCTCCAAGCTCGGTCCAAACTCGGCACAGATCAGTTTCGGAAAGGGTAGTCTAAATGGGGCAATTAATACATTTGCGAGGTCCATTGTCTTTGTACTGTGGTAAGATGAATTCCTAAAGGCCCACAAATATTTCAGCATTAGTTAAAGCCCTAGCTTGGTTCTTATTCTCAACAACTAGAAATCAAACTTTAAACACACATATATTTAATACAGTGAATATATTTGTACAGATCAAATAACAGAAACAGTAAACTATGAATAAGTCTCTAAACCTTCAACATAAATATTTTTACAAAAACTAATTCACTATATCAAAGGAAACCTGTTTCTAATGAGAAACTGGGGGTGAAGTACCAAAGACATGCTTTTGTTATGCTGCGTTGTAACCGCATTTGGTGATGTGTCTGCAGCCTGTCAAAGTTATCCATTTGACAATAGTTTTTTATGTAATCACCTACAGTAGTTTTACAGGGTTACGGGATAATGCTTCTTCTTTGAACAGCTTTGAACCGTGTTCAGATCTGTTCCAGTGACACCATAATTTCAAACACTTCTTATCTTGTGTATACACACATGCTTTTTTTTTTTTTTTTAATCCTCTCATCAAAGCTGTCTCCTTAATGTAAAAGACAGGGGAAAACATCTCAGCTGTGCTTCTGTGATAAACCCTCATGGTGCATCAAATAGTAAAAATGATAAAGGAGCAACTGTAGGGAGAGATGCTGACTGGCTTGAAAAAAAAATAGGACATCTTTAATTCATTCTCACTACACTGCATGTGATTGTTTCGTCAAAGAGGAAAGTTTGCATCCGGAACAGGTCACCAAGTTCATAACAGAACCACAGGGAACAAAATATTTAAAAGAACTTTCACTCTCTCATCTAAACCCAAATTAGAACCCTTCCAGGAAAACTACTTTAATATAGGTAGAGCACAGAGATAAAATAAATATTATGGTCTTAAATGCCATCAAATGTTTAAGTGCTCCTGGACAAGGCAAAGCAAGTTGCTTGCCAATCTGGTAATGATTGGTGATTATCTGCTGTTAAACCTCTTTGGGTGGTTAGTATGACATAAAACATGCTACATAAATTCAGTTCATTTCCCCTCTATAAGGGATAAAATTCTTATCAAGAGATAAGTGACAGATGGGTTATTGGCAAGCTGAACTCACAGAGGTAATTGAAACTGCAGAAGAGGAAGTCACAGTTTTTTGCAACTTTAATTCTAAATGTAATGACTATTCCCCCAGTGCATATTCTGGGATTTACCACAAACTACAACACAAAGTTCCAAGCAGAGGTTTACATAAACTGTTTAGTGAAATGAATGTCATTAAAGTCGTAGGGAAATTATATTTAAATTTCAAATCATTCTGGCTTAAACATGTACATAAATGTACTCTTCATCAGACCATATTGTCCCAAAAGTTAGAAAATTTATATATTTTTTTAAAATCCTGTGTTAAAATATATGGGGTTTTTTTCCGTTATTTTATTGAGGCCAGTTAGTTATGCATCAGCTTGTACACCTAAATTCGGCCAATCAACTTTTTATGCTGAGGTTCTCTCAATCAAATTTTTTCGGTCAAAGCACCTTGATTCATATGTCGCATCTAATATAAGCAACAGTTGAAATAAGAAATAAGAATCATTTACTTTACCATTGAGTTACGTCCCGGTGTTCACGGGGATGGAGGTCTGTGTCTTCAGCAGGCGTAGAGCTAACAGAACTGGCAGCGTTGCGAGGCAAGGCTCAAACATGTACAGCTATAAGCCTCCTACACCAAACCAAGCTTCTGCCGCTCTGGCGCCCTCTTCCACAACAACTTCCTCCCCGCTTTCCTCCTCTAAATAAAAAATCTATGACAGAGGAGACTCATTCACGACCTTCAACACAGAACTCTCCTCCTCTTGCATGCTTCCGCTGTCCATAGTGTTCCTTGACAGTGTCGTTGTTAAGTGCTACTTGGTCCCAATGTAATTTCCCATTGGGAACCTACTGGCACTAAGATGCTAACTGGTTAGCAAGATGCTTCTGACAAACAGCCCACAACTAAACTTGCTTGCAAACATTCCGCCACAACAATCCTACCCCCTTGATAATCACATTCACTTTATTCACTCATGTAAAGTCAGGCACCACTCGTGGGAATTCGGAAATGCAACGGTTGGAACAGTCGCTTCCCTATGACTTTACACTTTGACATAATGGTGCATTTGGATTGCTGGCTTTTTTTTTTTTTGTATACACATTAGCAGGGGCATTCAAGGCAGTGATCAATGAACATGCAAGTACATTTTTGTGCCTGTATGTATAAATTGTTGCTGGGCAACATCCAAATTACATTTAAAGCTTTGGACACAACTTCTATTTGTACTGTTCTGTGTGCATTCTCATTCCAATCCAATACAAGAAAAAAACATGGGAAAGGTGCTTCATTAGGATTTTCCTTACAGTGACGATGTCTCCATCAGCATTTTTCAGCAGGTCCACACAGCAATCACAGAAAGAAACAGCATGCTCCTTTAAAAAAGGAAAAGTTAATTTTCTCATGTTCTGATGTCACAGGTTTTCTTGATAGGGCATAGTTTTTGATATAGGACTCAGATTGAGTTATGTGTCAAACTACCAGCTTTTCCAGTGGATTTCTTTCTAAGCAGTTAATTCAGTTTACAGAAAAGTTCAGAGGATCAGGGGCCTCCTGTATAAAAGTGTGCAGCTTTCATACCAAAAAGGTAGGGAGAAAAAAAAAACAGTTGGATGCATAAACCCATGAGTGTTACAATGTTATAAGTCCCAGTCTGCAGAAAATCAAACACATCTCCAGAACTGCTTATATATATTATATGCTCTATATATTAATTTGTAGGCACTGGAATGCTCACTGCCAACAAATCAATAAATAAAGTAGTATAAATATCTGAAAGGCACCCATTGCGTGACTCCTGTGACAGCAATGTTGTTAGGTCGTCACAGAGAGTCTTTGTCAACAACTTATTGAATAACATCAGAGATTCATTAAAGAAATCACCAATAAAAAAAATTTAAAAAAAAGTCTACGGTTTTATTTTTTTCCACAAAGTTTGTATTTAATCTAAAAGGTTCTGTTTTTCTACTGAATTGAGCTACACAGTTTATGCTTATCAATGTTATGTTTAATAAATCATTAAGACATGAATATGACAAATTTGCGAATCACAAATTCATGCCTGAATTTTTCTTATAAAAAAACTTTCCATTTTAGAAAAACATAGATTCAATGCTCCTAGGCACAAACCAATGAACATTTCCTTACATAAACAACATATGTTGTATAAGAATAAATGTGATTCAGCTACATCTCTCATGTTTAAATAATAAAAACTCAAACTCATGCAAAAACATTGAGTTTGTTGCTCTTTCAGCTAACTAGATAGACTCATATTTCGTTTCATTAGGTGCTGGTAAAGATTTTCAATCATCCAGGTCATAGTGATTCCAAAAATGTAAAAAAAAAAAAATAAATAAATAAAAAAAAATCCACTGGACTTGGTTTCTAAGTTTGAAAACATTTCGCTTCCCATCCAGTAAGCTCAAAGCTCAATTCTCAGACGTGATTGAAAAAAAAACATTTTTTGTGAGGTATATGGTTTGCTAAACCTTAACACTTGCTTTAAAACTAAACCCTCTAGATTCCTACCTAAGTTACATTTATGTCATAGTTACCTGTCTTACCTGCATGGCTGAAGAAGTAATTGATGAAAGGTTGATAATCAAGCCAAGCAAATGATACAGGATGCTTTTGTTCTCAGATGTCACACACTGCTTCTGCAGAAAAGCAAACAATAATCTATAGGACCTTTTCAAACAAGACAGTAACACTTAGCAGGAGTGTTAGATTTTTTTTATATATATACATATCTTAAACTAATTAACAGCAATTTACACTTCTCTAAATAAAATGGCACGTCGACAGCTGTGCACTTACGGTGGCAGTGAGAAAAGCTTCCCAGCATTCTTCCTCCTGAGCAAGCTTTTGACGAATGACTTCATCTGCAGCCAGAGAGCCAACAGCGGATATGAGCAATGTAAGGACATTTTGATTAAATCTGCTGATATCTCCCTGGAAAAGAATGAGAGAAACCCATTTATTTTTATGGTCAGATATACAAATAACCATAATATAAAATAGGATGTGAGTTTGTTGAGCAAAACCTACCAAAATAATCTTAAATGCCACAAAAAAGGAGTTGTTTGACAAATTTCTTAGCTTTAACCGAAACCTGTAAGAAATAAACAACATTTAAGGGAAATACATTCTTTACTATTGTCAACTGTGAATTGGGCAGTCCTCTCCATGATTGTAAAGGTCCAACCATAACCATAACAATACATTTTTCTATTGGTTTGGGAAGTATATACAACTGCTTTCGTTAAACTCTTTATCCATCGGGAAACTAAGGTACAAAGATTTACACTATTCAATTTAAAGGGGTTTTTTGTTGTTTTTTTTAAACCCCTCAGCACCACTTTTGTATTCATTGCAACAAAAACATCAACAACAAAAAAAAATACCAACACTTACTCAACTCAGATTCTACAATGGAGAGGAAATTTCTTTTGGATACACCACGTTTATTTCAAACTCTCTTTGAGCTACAGACAAGGAAAATTGATCCACCCATTTCACGGCTTGACACCTTGACTTATTTCCTGCAGCATTTGAGAGCCTGAAATGTCCTTTCATGTCTGCTTCCAGGAGATGCCAGAGAGAAAAACAAGTGCAGAATAGCCTTTGTCTTTATGTGATATTAACACCCGGATGGCGCCTGTTGATTTATTAAGAATGCCATATACTGTCTTTCTATCAGGACTTTTTACTCCAGCGATGCACTTTCATCATGCGGCATATGGATATAATTTGTGCAGGAAACTGGTTTTCTCTTCTCTTCTATATGATATTTGGTCATATGTACAGCCACACGTCTTTGAGACAATTCATATGTATTAGCCTAAAGAGCACTGATTAGATGTGCATCTTTATTACCTATTTTCTGCAGCAAAGGTTTCTAGAATACAGACTGCTGTGATCTCTTGCTGCTCCTTTGATTCCGAGATGCACCACATGAGGTTTTCAGCCAACCTTTAAAAAGATCAGGAAAAAAGGGAATCATACCAAATAAGAGTGGTTTTACATTATAATTGTAAAGGGAATACGTAGGTAATTATAATTCTAAGGATCCTGAATCTAATATCAAAGTTCAACTAATTTTCATTCTTCTTTGAAAATCAAATTAAATTGCAGAGCAAACAATGAAAGACAGTAAATGGCCAGGTACTGTTGTTTGTTTTAAAGAAAATAGAGTCTGTCAAATAAGTCAAATAAACTGCGAGTGATGTCCTTTTTTATCATGCATTAGTACTTTCTGTGTAAAATGAATGCTGTTGTTACTAATAGTGAGATGTGTCTATGGACAACATAAATAGTATGCATACAGGTGCAGATTGAGGTTGTCAATAACCAAACGTCTGCCATGTGATGTCTCTGAGTATAGTCGCAATAATTTCAGACATTCTTTCACAACTTCAACATGGTCCGATGTTAACAGCTGCACAAGAGCCCGTCTGGCAACTGGACATTTCATCAGGATCTTCTGATTTTCATCTAACATTAGGGGAAAAAAACAAACATGGATAAGAAATGAGTTAGACTAAACAGATACACTTGTTGCATTTGATTGCATAAACACAACATTTAGCTAATCATGCATCAGGTTTGTTTTCCACCACATCAACCTACCCCCATTGTCTTGTTTCCGGTACCTCCAAGTTTAAACTTTTTAGTTCATTGTCCACCAACTTTAAAATACATGAAATGAGCAATGCATAATTTGCTCACAAAAAATATTTGAAATAAGTTCCATTATGTTAAATATCACAGTGGGGACGTTCAAGTAAATTGGGAGAAATTTTCCATACCAATGTGGAAACATTAGAAAATTATATATAAAGACTTGCTGATTGCCACTTCCTGGGTCTTTGTAGGCCATATGAGTTAAACCTTGATCCAAGCTATTTCATAGGGATTTAAGATTTAAATGACAATTTCAAATCAAAGAGATGAATATAAATGTATTAAAATAGTATAATTTAACTTTTAAGTGTTTAAGTTCTGAGATACAATTTCAAACAAACACAACCTCAAGTAATATGCATTATTTAATTGTAGAGTTAAGCAGACACACCACAGGTATTTTTAAAGATCTGTGACTTAAAAAAAAAAAAAAAAAAAACCTGACAAATCTACTGATTTAGAAATGACTGTAATTCATCTTTAAATGCAGCTGCAACATTATGGGTGCATTTTAGCAGGTTGTACTCCTAACAGAGGACTCTCTTATCCTCTCAATCCAAAGGCAAGTAAACACAAGAGCAGAAATTTAAATATGTTATACAGTGTAATAGCTGTGACAGAATCATTCATCATACATTTTATAGTAGCTTTTTGGGTGGGGGTAGTTGCTCTTGTGCAGACCTAGTAGTAGAGTAAGTAATTGGACGTTTCATTAAAAGTCCCTTCTAGTAGCACGTTCCCACAAAGGTTGAAGAGACAATACTTAAGATTAGGCCATAATTGCCAAAGAGTCTAAGATTATTACTGTGTTGGTCTAATTTCACTGTTTCTAATCACATTCTGACCTCTACTGCTGCAGAAGCCGGAGATATATGTCTTTAGATTGCTGAAACAGTCTTGCTAAAGACAAATTAACAGCCCGGAGTTTGAACTCACAATGAAACATAATTAATCACGTTACAAGCCTGCAACCCGCATGGAGATAAATCATGCACTGCATATAAAGTTTGCTTTTATATGTGTACAGCATAGTTTGCTACTGTATACAGTGTTACTGCTGGTGCTTTCTCAACACTGAAACACAAAATACTTCAATGTCTGATGTACTAAGGCAATGATATCATTTAGTTATAGAAAAGCTTGTACAGAAGAAAATTATACTTATATTATAATTGTCTTAAATACATAGCAGTGCCTCTCTGTAAGGGGTTGTTCTGATATCAATTATAATCATTCCTAATGAATCACTATCACTATCCTAATTTATCACTAAAAACGTTATCCAACACACCCTAAGCCTTTTGGTTTTGTTGAATAATACAATTATCTATGCTTAAGTCACATTAGTGAATATTCAACCGAAAAAATATAAAGTCATGACAGCCTAAAATTATTCATCACCTCATTCTAAGAAATAAAACTTCAAAATATCCCAGAGACTGTTCAGTTCAATACAATGAAAGCCTTTAGAAACAAGATACAATCAAGCAAAGTAATGAGATGAGATTAACGCCCTTCAAAGGGAATTGAGGGATTTATTGTTGTTTTGGGGGTGGGGGGTGTTTATTGTCCACTGGAAAGCAAAACACATCTCTAAACCAAGTTGAATGTGTTTGTATTCACCAATTTTAAGCTGTTCAAGAGGAAAAAGAACTTGGTCCAGTTTTCAAAATTAACATTATTGCTCATTCTGCAGTTGCTAACTTAGTCATCTTTAGTTGAGGATGAAACACAAGTATAATACAATTTTTTTTTTTTGAAAAGCAATGACCAAATATTGGCACCAAACAAATTGACTATGAAAAACATTTTCTGATCTTTTGTGAAAAAAAGTAATTATTTGCAGACATATGTGAAACATAAGCATAATCTGGCTTCTTAGAAACAAAGCAACCTTGCACTAAAAAATAATAAACAGCATTTTGCTAGACTACAGTCAAAGAGATAGCCTTAGGTTAATCATAAATAAAATCAATGAATAACATCCGCCTGATAGCTACGTTACTCACAGAGTTAAATGCAGTTATTCCACTTAGATTTTATTATAGATCACAGACGTCTAGGATGGGTCTTAAAATTGGACTCGTGACTTTTACAGAAACCTTCAAAGAGTTTTTGAACTCTGTTATTCCATCAGGTGGAGATCTGTCTCCTTAGATTGCAGTAGAAATCTCGCCCTTGGTGTTGGCGGATGTAATCTACATATATAAACAGCCCAGTTTTGGAACTAAGAGTAGAAATGGTCAGAGAGAAAGAGCCAAATCCTTTCAGCGTTACAGGAAGTAGCTCTGGAAAAAATATATTTCTGTTTACATAGCTTTCAGTTATTTGTTGCCATTTGCAGAACATGATTAGATAAACAAACAAATTATAAAAGAGGAAACACCTCAATGCTCAAGTGATATAAAAACATAAACTAATGACTGAATAGCTGAGAAAACTACAGAACAGTATTTGAACCTTATTTGCCTTTTATTCAGAATAAACTAACACACAGTGAAAGCTTTGTGTACCTACCATTTTTAAAGCAAACAATCCTCCAAATGTTTAATACAGAAATGCAGAGCTCTTTGCTGAGAAGATCATCTGTTTTCTGCAACAAGCATCTGTAGAGAAAATAAACTCTAAGCTGTGATTAACATACAACTATAATGATTACATATAAATAAATAAAGTTACATTTGCGGCCCAAAGTGTAATATACATTTCAAATATTTATTTAAGGTTAACAAAATGTATATAGAAAATTATAAATAATAATTTTAATGAATAAACTCTAGTTCTCTACTAATTATTACAGAATATGTAACCACTGTAAGCCTTTTTAACATTATGTAATGGAAGATTATGCTTTAGCTGGAAAATATAGAGAAGACCTTTTCTTGTATGTTGTTTCTATTAGTTGTGGATAGTGTCTATTTCTACCTCACACTAACATTCTTCCTGACAAATTGCACTTTCTACAGATTCATACTTCCCAGACACTGTGTTCCATCTCGATTCATGATGGCGCTAATAATGACAACAAGGAGAGCAGTGACAAGTTAATAATATCCTTGGTGATCTGTCATGAGGGACTTATAATTCTTATCTTGTACAAAACCCTCCCACTTTCTAGGACAAAAACACAAGGCTTTTATGGAGTGAAGCACTCAGCTCCATCTCTAGTGATCATCTTTTATTTTTTGGGCTATTACACAAACAGCTGGAAAGAGACAGAGGGGAAGGTGAATGATCTTTCTAGTTTAGACCATCATTGTCTCTGTATGTCCCCATTTCTCTGTCCATCTGTCAAAGCTCCAATGAGACCTCCAGTGGTCTCCTTACCTTGTCAGCACGCCATTGCTGCCAATGATACTAAAGCCATTGTTCAGTCTGAAGAGAGTCTGTCCTGTACCTGTTAGAGGAGAAGAGCAGATAGTGGACGAAGACAGAAAACCATTCATTAGCCAGAGGAAGAGAGGCTTTACAAGAACACAACCCTTGTGTCCTTGCTTTGCTTTACCTTGCTCACTGGTGTAGAATCAAGTGTGCAAAGAAAATGCTTTATAAATTGCCTGCAGTAAAGTGTTAATGGATCCCACTTTTCTCTTACTAATGGTGTATATACTACAGAAAGAAGAGCAATACCACAAAGGACCACTTCAATAGCAGAAAGCTGCAAGCCCGGTTGAGATCCTTTAAGATCCTATCCTTTAAAATTATACTGAGTGTGAAATATATAATTGGTCATTGTTAGAAATTAGAATCAATATAATAAGTAGTTGGTTCTATTTAGGACAAAATATTTAGAAAAAAAGGGTAAGAGGGTTATGACATTGATGTATCTTCGTTTTTATTTGGATTTTTTTGTGCTGTTGTTCATTACGATTCCCATGTCACTTTCACTGTTGCATAAATTTCCCCAATTTGAGATGAATAAAGTCATAATTTGGTTTCCACACTAATGAAATTAAAGCTATCATCTTTTAATTAGATATGATTGGTCCACTTTTGCTCATTTTACGTTATTATTTGGATTTAAGATTATTACAACAGACTAGTAAAAACTTTCTAATACAGAAATATAAAGAAAAGCACTCTTTATATCTATATACATTTATTCCTGTACTGTCTGCTGTCTTTCTTTGCACGATCAATAGTTTTTTTGCATATGTTCGCTGATAGCTCTCCTGGGCCATAAAAGAACTGTTTTAGCACGATCTGAATACCTCGAATTGTAGCTCCTACCTCCTATTCATAGCTCTTATCCATTGACCTTTTGCAGAATCAACAGTAAGAACATTGTCTAGGGTATGAAAGGAGCTCCAGACAGCTGTGCTGAATCCAGAAAACATTCAGACTTAAGCCGTTTTGAGACCTTGCAGAAAACGGTCCAAGCATGATAACCAAGCTAACTGTTGAGTGAAAATGAAATGCAGCTGAACTGGACCATGCCAGACACAACCGAACCGCGGTAAATCTAGTACTAGTTCAACAGTAGGGCTCGGCAGCGGTTCAGCTTTGGCAGACCACATCTTCTCCTAATTACAGTCAGCTGACTCATTTTGCGGGTTTTTGTAATTCACAGATCTCTTCACCTGTTCACAGCACGAACTTCTGCTCAGCCTATTAACAATAAATTGTATCATAAGAGTGTGGTGCGACCTGGGATGATGCCAAGACCGAGTCTCTCATTGAAATTTGGGCAGAGGACGCTATCCAGGCACATAAGTTCCTGAATGTTATAGGCACAGCCATTTCTGTTTGCGTACTGTAATTCCCGCCAGAGCAGTAGTATTATGGATAAGAGGAGAGGAACCGTGCTAGCGTGATGTGTAAATGGTCACAAGAACCATGCATAGCACAGTTAAAGGGGAACGCTGTTTTTTTTACATTGGGCTCTTGATTTTACGTTATTACAACATGTTCTACTCACCCATATGAGTTTTGTGTCATTTGGAGCTGATTTGAAGATATTTGGTTAGGTTATATCCAAGTAACGTCTTCCTATGGGCAACAACTTAAAGGCACAAACTAAACTGTTCATAATTTATCATTTATGGTACGCCAGCATTCATAACATGTAGGAGAATCACTGTCCCCCAGACATCCGCGGTTATATTTTTTATATTTATATCTTTCAAAAACAAAGCGGCGCGTGTATGACTTCATCTCCGCGCCAGCTACCGTTCATTCTTCCTGTCCGCTGAACTGCTGCTAGTTTTACACACATACCTGGAAGATGTCTAGTGCTGCTACCATAGATGATCTCGCTCTTGAAATGGAATTGAACGATTCAGATTAGCTCGCCGAATGAATATAAGGGATAGAGCATAGCCGCCTGTGGCCCGGGCTGCCTGTCACAACTCCAGTCCAGCAGGCGGATGACGTTATACACACTTCGCTTTGTTTTTAAAAGATATAAATATAAAAAATATAGTGATTTGCCTACATGTTATAAATGATGGCGTACCATTAATGATAAATTACGAACAGTTTAGTTTGTGCCTTCAACTCGTTTGCCCATAGGAAGACGTTACTTGGATATAACCTAACCGAATATCTTCAGAACAGCTCCAAATGATACAAAACTCATATGGGTGAATAGAACATGATGTAATAACGTAAAATCAGCGGCCCAATGTAAAAAAAAAAACGGGGTTCCCCTTTAAGTGATCCAAGCTCGGTCTGAACTCGGCAAGGATTGGTTTCAAAGGAGGTAGTGTATATGGGGCTTAACAAACATCATTACATGGCAAACACACATGAATGGCACCGGTTAAATCGGGACTACAGCCTTCTGGAAAAGAACTACAAAAAAAGTCACACAAAAATATAAAAAATAAAACTAATTAAGTCAGACTATATATTTTTTTCTGCAATTTCTTCCCAATTCATCAACTTTAAATGTGATTATAAGGGAATTGAAGAGGAGCTGAAGTTTTTGAAATACAGGTTTATAATATGATTTTATTTTGTATTTATTTCAATTGAGCTGTGTTAACTAACTACAGTAGATCCCTTCTGAGTTAAAATGGTTGAACTTGATTTCTATTGGATGGTTTAGAGTAGTGAACACTCACTACATACTGACTAAATATTGTATACTTTTAATGTAAGGTGAGATACATTTCTTCTTTCTAGTATTGTATAATATTTTTAACTAATAACTGAAAAAGCATGTGTACTTATTAAGTCACTATTCTGTTACTGGTCATCATGAGATTTTCATCCTAATGAGAAACTGAAACACAAATAGTCTAACTTAAAGCAAGCATTTAAATGCTTGTGTCATTTTTTCTTTACATCTGTTTTACCAGATAATAGCATCGTATACCTTGCTTAGTGCTATCATTTTAGCAGAACAGCAGATAGATTTAACCTTTTCAGATGGTTAATGAGAGGAAGGTATGGCTTCACAAAACTAAATAGAAAATAGACCTGTGCAAAGCTTTCTGAAGAAACACTCACAGTCAGTAACTGCCCGTGACAGGCTCTCCAATCCTGCACAGTAATAGAGGGGAGTCCGGCCAACCCTAGACAGCCTCTCCAGCAGTTGGGGCACCGCTGTGAACTTTCCCTCTCCTTTGACAAGTTCTTCCATTGCTTTCCTCTCCTGGCAATCCTTGTTCTCTTCTAAATCTACCAACTCCAAGTATTCTTAAAAGGAGAGTAGGAGAAAGGAAAAAAACAGAAGAGAAGAAAATTTAGAGACAAAATGATTTATCAGCATTGACCTCAATCTTATTACTGTAATTGTACACACATGTTCATATTACGTTTATAATAATCGGAACATTTTAAAGAGGTAGGGAAACGGCTGTTTTAACGGTTGCATTTCCGAATTCTCCCCAGTGGTGCATGACTTTACATGAGTGAATAAAGGGAATGTGATTGGAGTTTTTATCAAGAGAGCGGGGTTGTTATTAAGGAAGGTTCGCTAGCAAGTTTGATTGTGGCTCATATGTCGTGGATGAGTCTCCTCCGTCATTCATTTACTTAGAGGAGGAAAGCCGGGACGAAGATGTTGTGGAAGAGGACGCCAGGGAGGCAGTAGCTTCATTTAGTAGTAAGCCTTCTACACCAAATGGTAAAATAAGTTACTCAATTAAAAATTATTCCTTATTTCAGCAATTGCATATATTAGCTGTGACATGAATCAAGATACTATGATCAAAAAAAATTGATTGACATATGACCGTTGATATATGATTGGCCGAATTTAGGTATACAGGCTGACTTATAACTAACTGGCCTGCATAAGTTAACCGAAAAAAAAAAAAAAAAAACATATTTTAAGACAGGATTTTTCTAAATTTAAAAGTCTGATAAAGAGTACATTTATACACATGTTCAAGTCAGAATGACTTCACATTTAAATATGATTTCCCTACAACTTTAAAACCAGCCTGGTGTCTACACTTTCTTGCCCATTTTGATTCCAACTAAAGGTAAATTTATTTGGAAAAATATAATGATGGCAACAAGAAAAGCACATAAGAGCCTAATTGTAAGAGCCCATACTTAACTTACTTTACTTACTTTCCTTGTATCAGACAATGTGTTTGCCAATTCATTAGTGCATTCAGCAGCCGTGTCTTGAAGTCACATGAAGAACATGCATTACTGCTCCCTCCATCAGCTATCCATTGTTATTGTTTTGATTTTTTAATAAATGTTGTCAATAATGTTTTTTATTTGCACTGACTAGTGTAACATTTGCTATAAACATGTCCTCTTATCATGAAAAGAAAGAAAGAAAAATATATATTTTCATTAAAAATCGGCCTTAAAAATCGGCCGCATATTTTGTGTAGTGAGACTGATGAAAAAATAATTGGTATTGGCATTGGCCTTTTATGAAAACTGTATCAGTCGTTCTCTAGTTTCTTTCTGTTAACAGTGAGTTTTTCCTCTCCACTGTTGCTGTATACATGCTTGGTGTGAGTGACAGCTGTAGAGTTAATGACAATGCAAGCACATATCTACTGTCGCTATCTCCTTGGCAAGAAGGAGCATATTGTGTAAAGTCAATTACTTGATGCCATCAGCTGGTTTTCCTTTGTTAACTTTTTACCAATCTGTTTGATCTGACTGAATAGTCTTTGTAAAATTATTGAGATGACATGTTTTCTGAACTACTGTAGTGCAATATTACTAAACTGACTGAAGTGAAATTAAGTTATTGTGAAGTTTAACCTTCCCTGGGTTAACTAACTTAATATCAATTAATACTACTCACTATAATTAGGAGATTTGGTCATGAAACCTTATTACCATAGAGGACTGACTAAACATTGCATAATATTATTGAGAGATCTTTAAAGAAACTAAACTCCTTCACTACTATTTGAGCATTTAGTTTATGCAACATTTCCTTAAATAACTCATCGAAAAAATGTAATTACCTTTAACCATCTTTCCCCTCCCTGGTTCAATTTCCTGTATCTTTTCAAAGCAGCTTTTAGCCTGTGAAAAATGAAAATCTCATAATTAAATACAGTATCTGTTCTGCTGGTGTCGTCTAAACCCAACAGAACTTATCTTCAAAATGCAAAGGCATGCCAACAAGATTGATAAAGAGTAAGTACATCAAATATCACAAATTATCCTGTAATTAGGTTTTTTACATTTTTCACCCTGATGTCAAAATCAGATATAAACTTGTGCACTAAAAAAAGGACAAAAATGATTATGACAGTAGATCTAAGACAAGATATTGACAAAATTACAGTCAGATAGAATACTATACATTCTTTGAATTTGTAATTACACTTTTATTTTCTATTTTCTTTTTTTTCAGCCTACAACTACTGCAGCTTTGCCTTGTCTTTCGTATAGCTGAATGACATAGAGGTTTATTTAAAGCAACTATGAAAATGATGGGATTGGATTGAATGTAATAAAAGATAATTATACCCACCTCATTATATTTCTTCAAACCCAGGTATGCTTTTCCCATATGCACATACGCCTTTATGCATCTTTCATTACACTGAAGCGAGAGAGAAGACTGACTAGTTATGAAAGAAATATCTATATCTGTTTGAACACCTATGACACTACCATTTAAAAGTAATATATATTGAATAGAGTATTAAGCGTTTTGAACGTATTGTATATTTAAATGCATACAGAAATAAGATGACTTAAGTAACATGACAACGAGCCAAAGAAAGTGACACTTGTCCATAACTTTTCATAATTCTATTTGCATCATATTTTTGAAAATCGAATAGGTTTGCAGCTTTTGATTTTACTTCTTTTTACCTTCAAGGCCCATTCACAGTCACAAATTGCTTCCTTATATCGTTTTAGCTTGATGTAGGCCTGGATAGGAAAAAAAAACACAGAGCATAAGGCAAGTGAAACTGAATAACTGACAAGAACAAAGAATCTGACCTTGCAAAAGAAGGACAGTTATTGGTGTCTGAAGGGCTGTTTGGTCAGAGACAAAACGTGTCTTTCAGGTAGTTCATATTAAAAAGTAGTTGTTAAGTTAACGTCCAACAAGAATATTCCTGCAAAGCATTAAGGATCAAAGAACAGCATCGTAATTTAGTGACAGGATATGTGGTTTTCAGGCACAGTTACTATACTGAGTGAAACTTTTGTGTGTATTCTAATTTCCTACCTTTTCCCTTTTGTCTCCGTTTTTTATTTTTCTATTTTCTACAGGATTTTTGGTTCCTAACTATAGCTATCATGAAAGAAAGTGTACATACATAGAGTACAAGGCATAGAGCTTGGAATCCCGAGGATCTGAGTTCGAGCCTCTAAACTCAGAACCGCAGAACAAGTTCTGAGTCTCTGAGGAAGATCCTTAACCCCCGATTGCTCCCTGTGCGCCCCACGATGCAGCCCATTGCTCCCCCATGCAATGGGTTAAATGCAGAGGTAAATTTCTCCAATATGAGATCAATAAAGTTAAATTTTTTATTATGGACAGTTTTTCTGTAGATAAATAAATTGTGTACTCAAAGTTCAAACCTAACTTCAATTTAGAAATGATGCTTGACAGAAAATGCTATTTTTATACAATTGGAAAAGGCCGTAGTATCCAGGATGACATGTAAATGCAATGCAGGAAGACACCTGGTTACAATCGGAATTCCTAAGCAGTACTATCAACTCCTTAAAGAGTAACTCACCCCAAAATCAACTTTTTTGTAGATGAACACTGTAATCTGTGTCTATGTAGTGATATTTTAATATCATTGTGCATCTTTGCTTCTGATTTACTTTTAATTTTAGATAAGACTTTTTTTTTTAATCATATCCATATCTCAGAACTGTGGTTGTGCTTCCCTTAGGGGTTAAATGTTCCCTATGGCAATTGAATTTCCTCATCTTTTTTCTAATCTGTTCATGCTGGTACAGGCTTTTGCCGCTCATTCAAGCTTTAATCATCATAGCCTCAAGTTTGGGTATAAATGTAACTCATTCAAAGAAATCCCTTGGTATCAAGTGATCATGTCCTGCATCGCATTCATGACCTAAACAGAACAACATGGTTGCTGACGGACTAGAGAAAGGAAGGATACCTCCGCTACCTGTCACTGCAGTTAAAGAGCCTAAAGGAGGGTAAATAAATGTAAAGAAGAGGGACCAGAAGTGTGGTAGTGATCAAAGAAATAATAATTTCTGTGTAAATCTTTAGCACATTTTCTTGGCAGGGAGGCATCGCGCTCGATAGGATTTTAAACAAAAGGCTGTAATTCAGTCATTTAAGTGCAGCTTTAGTTTACAGCAAAGACAAGTCTGCTCACTGGAAATGAAACTTTACCTTTAAATAGTTGGCCTTAGATACTATAAGTCATGTTTACCATTCATACTTTTTTACTAAATGGTGTCTCATAAAGTAATAAAGGTTGTATTTTTTACATATACATTATGTATTAAATGGATTTCTGAAGATATTTTGAATCAAGACTTAAAATACTTACTTGTGCTCTGTTGGTGTATAGTGGCTGCATATCCTTCAGTACAGCCAATCCATCACTATAATACTTCACTGCATCTTCATATTCCTGTTTCTCATAAGCTGCATTTCCCTTGTTTTTAAGAGCTGCAGTGAATCAAGCAGTGCAACATTAAAAAATACATAACTCTAAACTTAACAGAGTCACAACAAGCGCAGCAAAACATACCGGTTGCCTCTTTTAGCTTAGCCTCTCTCTTGAACGCCCTGTCTTCAGCATCTCTTTCCATAATCTTCATGAAATTGTCTTATTCAGAAGAACAAAATGACAAACAGTTTAAGGATAAAATATTTTTTTCAGACTTAAAAGCAAACTTTAAAAAAAAGGTTTTGAAAAACACACTCAGCCAGAATACACAGGTTAAACTAATAAAATCTGATCATCACATCTGCTCGTATTAACTTCAAGTAAAACTAAAAGGAACTTCTGCTTCATCATCATGAATTTAGTGAATGGTGCATTTACCTCCCTTTCTTAATAAAACTAAATATCAAATAAGAAACTTGATGAACTGGGGACTAACTAAAAATATGTTTTTCTCATAAAGAAAACATTTAATTCCGCTTTTTATAATAAAACTCCCAATTTCACTCACCTTGACTTTCATCATGTGAACTCTGCAAAACAAAAAAACTAATTAGGAGAATGTCAAAGAATTCCCTTATTTCTTCTAGAAACAAGAAGGAAAGCAGCTTAACACAAGTGTCCATGCTATCTAAATACTAGAGAAGCGCTGGTAGCAGAAGTTAAGACAAAGGCACAAAAAGAGTGAAAAGAACTAAGACAGACAGAGAAGGGGAGTGAAACTGTGTGCTGGCTTTGTGTTCAAACAATTTTTTACCAAAGAATGTTGAAGGAGTGGTTTTGTATTCACTGTAGTCTTGTTGACTTTTGTTCGGCAAGGTTCATCCAAGGTGGCAATTAAGGAATCTGCTTCTGCTGTCGCTTTTTGTTGCACCCTTTCATCAGAGGACCGAAAATCTTCTAATATCTGACCTAAAAAAGAATTCCCCTTACAGCATCAAAACTACTGCACAACTAACACTCTTTGCATAAAGAAATATTTTACTGATTCGAGATTAAAATTTGTCATAAAACTACAGCTGAAAGCTATGCAGCCAAATGGTAATAAAATATTTCAAAGATACAGACCTAAAAGATTTAATCTTGCTTGAAATTAAAAAATGGAAATGTGATTAGTAATTCTTTTTTGTATTACCTTGAGAAACTACTAAGCCATCATTAAAATATGTTTTATCTATTTTATTGCAGCTGGGCAGAAAATAGTGCTTGCAATATATACACATAGAGATATACATAAATTTAAAGGAAACATGAAGAATAAAAATATATATGAATAATTAAATTATTCAGATGAACAGACATACAGAAAGATAGACATTTTTCAATTATTCATAACACTTTAAAGCTGTTATGTCCAGGTTTAACCTGTCTTTTAGCATTTAATATATTTTGTTTAATTGATAGGAATCTATATGACAGAAAACACAAAAAAAATGTGTTTCTCAAAGTCTGACATGTCTAAAAAGGCACATTTTCTTTTTCAAGATTATCAGATTATTAGACGTGCTCAGTATGGTCCTTTTATTTAACAGTAATTTGGATGCTGTGAATTGGTCAACCTTAGCTAAAGCAGTCCCCCTAAAGCAATTCTTTGCAGTGCTTTTTCACCGTGGGTGTACACACCCACTGACACGTAGCTCATGGTAGCTAAGAAGAAATTAGAAAAGGAGACAGCGTTAATCAACAATGCCTTTGACAGGTCTGATAATATATATAGTCAATATATTTGGCACGAAAAAATGCTTTAAGCAGGATTCCGAAATTCTAGGTATTTTTTTTAAACATTTGTAGAATTTTTTTAAAGTGCTCATAGGAAATTTCTTTTCCTTAAAATGTAAAAAAA